CCCCCCCAGCGTCGGCGAGGCTTCACCGGCCTGCCGAGCTTCCCCCCCTCAGCAGTGGCGGCGGCAGCAAGGCCTTACCGGCCCGCCAAAATTTCTCCTTCCCTCCCCCCCAGCGGTGAGGCCTCGCCAGCCCGCCAAACCTTCTCCTCCCCCCGGTGGCATCCGCAAGGCTTTGCCAGCCCGCCAAGCTTTCCCCTTTCCCCTCTCAGCTGCGGCAGCAGTGAGGCCTCGCCGGCCCACCAAAATTTCTCCCTCCCTCCCCCACTCCCTCCCCCCTGCCGACGGCAGTGGCGGCAGCGAGGCCTGCCGGTCAGCCAAGCCTTCTCTCCCCCACCCCTCCCGCCGCCACCTCCATTCCAAGAGGGACAGGGAGGGAAGGCTCCTTGTCTTCCGCGGGATCAGGATAAAGCCTCTGCCTGTCGGGTCCACCCGTACACAGATCTGTGGGGTAGTGACAGTTTCTGAGATGGTAGTTTGTGCTGCAGGTGGACGGCTGGAACCACAAGCCCTTGTCCTCACGGCTCCAACAGCTGCTCCTGCCGTTCTTAGCGGCGACATGTGCAGCTGCACAGCTTTCCTTGAGCTCCTGGGAGGGGATTTGAGTATCCCCCGTATACTTTTTTAAACATGTACGATTTTTCTGCAACCCTGGAGAGTACTCCAAGAGTGCAGAAAAACCTCTTTAGCCTCCAGGTGCCCTTGTTTTGCGGAAATAAGTATCTGCACGGGGGGGCACTTGGGAATTAGATATATAGATATATAAATAGGGAGGACAGTTTCTCACATCCAGAGATGCAATTAAGAGAGAACCATTTTTTTTCATTTACTATATTGAGTGCATTCCACTAAGACAATACCCTACTGCTTCAAAGAGTTTTTGTTGCCACAGAAAAATCTCCATACATTTTTAGAACACTGAAGCGAGCATTTGCACATGCATGTTGGTCTGATGAAGGGTGCATGCACACAAAAGCTTATACCTTGAATTAAATTTTGTTGTTCTTAAAGGTGCCACTGGACTCAAACTTTGTTATACTATATGTTAGTTTATTATTTTCCTTTTAGTTCTGCTTTGGGGGGGGAGGTTCCACCTTCCGAGCTGAGGGAGGAGACAACCGGGGGGGGGGAGACTCTCAGAAGTGGTACCAAAACTCTGGAACTCCCTCCCCCAGGGAGAGACAGCGGCCCCTTTCTGTGGCTGCCTTTTGCCAGCAGACGAAGGCTTTTTTTTGTTTCATTTGAGTTCCCTTCCTGCCCTATGTTTTAATTGTTGTGTTTTTGTATGTATTTTATCATTAGTTTCAATGATGTGTGAGAGGGTGGGTTGGTTTTAAAATGTGATTTTAATCTTCTAGCCAGCTTGGTGCCCCTTGTGAGGGCCGAAATGTGGGGTAGAAATTTCATTAAATAAATACATAAATGTCTTCTGCTTAGAGGCAACAACGATTCTTCCAGTGTCTTGGTAACAGTATTTCCCCACAGCACTGCAAACTAAATAAGGGCCCAAAGCAGCTGCTGCCTATAGGGGGTAAAAAACACTTTGGAGATCACAGCACAGATCCCTAATTAGAATGCTCAGACTCAAAGCATGTGATTAAATTTCCCCGAGACATTTCAAGGAATTTATTAAAGAGAAATATTTGCTCTATGCCTACAGGCCCTGGTTCGGCAAAAAACAAGTACCCAGTAATGTTTGGTGTGTGACTGCAATAAAGAAGGCCAATGCTATGCTGGGGATTATTAGGAAGGGTATTGAAAACAGATCAGCCAATATCATAATGCCCCTATATAAATCAATGGTGAGACCTCATTTGGAATACTGTGTGCAGTTCTGGTCACCACACCTTAAAAAGGATATTATAGCTTTGGAAAAAGTGCAGAAAAGGGCAACTGGAATGATAAAAGGGTTGGAACACTTTCCCTATGAGGAAAGGTTAAGGCGCTTAGGTCTCTTTAGCTTGGAGAAAAGACGACTGAGGGGCGACATGATTGAGGTTTATAAGATTATGCATGGGAAAGAGCAGGTAGAGAAAGAGGTACTTTTCTCCCTTTCTCACAATACAAGAACTCGTGGGCACTCCATGAAACTGCAGAGCGGTCGGGTTAGAACGGATAAAAGGAAGTACTTCTTCACCCAAAGAGTGATTAACACATGGAATTCACTGCCACAGGAAGTGGTGGCGGCTACAAGCATGGACGGCTTCAAAAGGGAATTGGATAAGCATATGGAGCAGAGGTCCATCAGTGGCTATTAGCCACAAGGTATAGATAGGGACTCTGGGGCAAGTGATGCTCTGTCTTCTTGGTGCTTGGGGAGGGCTTCTGGCGTCCTGGCCCCACTGCTGGACCTCCTGATGGCCCCTGGTATTTCTGGCCACTGTGTGTGAGAGTGTTGGACTGGATGGGCCTTTGGCCTGATCCAACATTGGCGTCTCTTATGTTCTTATGAATCCTAGAGAGGGAATCCTAGGGAAACCACTCCTCCTTTTGTCAGCGCCCAGCCATGATGCCAACAAGAACAAGAAAGTCAAAAACCTTCAGGAGGTGTCCATTGCCTGTGGCTTGTGCCCTTTCCCCGTCCGGAAGAACGGAGAAGAGGGGGTGACGGAGCGGAGCCTGCTGCCGTTGGTTGTTGGCCGGGTTTCTGCTCAGATACACCAGCTGCTTTTTTCCTCTGTGCTGCGATCTGAGACAAAACACTGTCTGCATTGCCACCTAAGGGAGAAAAAACAACAACCATGCATAAAGATAAGGCACACAATTCCAATGCACAACAATTTCACACTTCCACTGCCAATTTTGATGGATTTTTGGTTGTTTTTTATGTTTCTTTTTTCCCCTTGTTTATTTTCAATTTAAATAAACTTAACAAAGTAAATACATTTCATCATACAAAGTTACAGAGAATCTTCCAGAGTTTTGCTTCCACTCTTCATTTTTCCCATTATTTGTCTCCTTATATATTTTGTAGCCATATATACATTTTAGCCCAATATTTATCATATTCTTTTCCACTTTTACCTTGAACAGTAAATGTTAATTTTTCTAGTTCGGCAACTTCCATTACTTTATATATAAGTTCATCTTTTGTTGGTATATTTTCATTTTGCCAATACTTCACGTATAGGATTCTGGCCGCCACTAATATATGCATAATTAAATATATTTCATATTTCTTAAATACCTCAGATATTATATTTAATAAGGTTATTCAATGTGAAGGAAAAGGAACTCCAAATGTTAGTCCATTGATGGTCAGGTATTGGTGTTACACAATCTTTATTCCAGGCCTTTTGGATTGCCAATTTTTGCTTCCATGTTTTATCACTGAGTAGCTTATATATGATGGCTACGAGTCCTTTTGAGTTCTGTGTGTCTTTTAGTAGTGCTCTTTCAAATTGAGTTAATGGTCTATCAGTCTTGTTGCTTTAGCTCAGCAAACATATGACTTAGTTACTGGTATTGAAACCATTGGAGTTTTATCTTGTGTTTAGTTCAATGTATTTTTATTTTTCAAGGCTGAACTTTTTCTGTACTTTGAGATATTCCATAACGCTTCGTGAATTTTATCTGGCATTAAATCTGCCCCTTCAATTCTAACCCATGTCTTATCGCAGCTAGGGTTAGTATAATAAAAAATTGCTTTCAATTGTGCTGCCAAATAATAGTGGTCAAGGGAAGGAAAACTTAGACCTCCTGCCTTAACGGCCTATTTAGAAGCGACAGTTTAATTCGAGGTTTCTTGTTGTCCCATAGAAATTTAGTTAAGTTAGATCTCCACTCTAAAATCTTTATTTGGAATTGTTATAGGTAAGTTCTGAAATAAATAAAGGAATTTTGGTAAAGGAATAGTTTTAAACAATTCAATTTTTTCCAGCAATGAAAGGTTCAACTTTTGCCAATCTTGCAGAGTTGATTTAAGGATGTTATTCATGGGTTTGTAGTTGTATTGCCACACATTAGCTAGATCTAAAGGTATACTTAGATGTTTCCACTGATTTGTGACCCATTTAAAAGGAAACGAAGAAGTTAGCTCTATTTTGTCAGAATCAGCAATATACATCGGATATAGATCCGATTTTGCATAATTAATTGAGAATCCCGTCACATGACTAAAGTTTTCTATTTGCTTTAATAGTGGTTTTAGAGATTCTTTAGGATTATTTAAATAAAAAATGGCAACGTCTGCAAATAGACTCATTTTACAATGTTCACTACGAATTTTAATTCCTAAAATACTGGGATCCACCTGTATGGCAAAAGCTAAAGGTTCCAATGAAATAGTGAACAGTATTGGTGATAAGGGGCACCTCTGTCTGGTGTCCCTCTTCAGATGTAGGTCCTCCGATCTGAACTGATTAACACTGACTTGACGGCATAGAATTATTATTATAATTTGGCTCCAAGTTTTAAATCCATTAAAGCAACAATTTGCGTAAAAGAAATAAAGGTGCTCTTCCCAGATAATGAGACCCAATCTGTGCCTAGAAATCGATTCTGCCACGGGCTGAGAGACAGAAGTCAAGTCCAGTCCAAGGTCGTTGCCAGGAGAGTCAGAGCGAGAGCCAAATCGTGAGTCCAAAAGAGGGGTCGTCCGAAGCAGGGGTCAGGGAGCCAGGAGTCCGAGCCAGAGTGGGGGTCTGAGGACAGGAGCCGAAGGTGGATGCAAGGCACACACGGAGGCGACTCGTTGCTTCCACAAGAGCCCAATGCTGAGTGGGAGTTACATAGGCCTCTGGCTGGGCTTCCCGTGGTGGCGGCAGCGGCGCTCCTGCTAATGCTCAAAACTCGGCGCTCGCCTTCCCTGCCAGCGTGCATCTCGACAGCGGGTGGCTAAGTCTCTGCAGAGCCACTCCCTTCTCTGAACCAGCCACGGGGGTGAGTCAGGCGCCTGTGCCTCCTCGGCTGCTGCAGGACTAGGTGCGGGGTTTACAGGCTCAGGCGCTGGCATGCTATCGACTTGTGAGGAGTCAGAGGGCCTGACTTCTGGTTCTGGCAATACCGGCGCCTCTGGCTGTGATGCCAACTTGGGCGAGGACTCGGCGCTGTTGTGGTCGCTCATGACAAATTCATTAGTTATACAAATAAGGTAGACTTTGCTTGGGTATTGGGTTAGTTCAAATATTTCTATTCTTTATATTCAGAGTCAAAAATGTACGTACCTGATTTATTATGCATTTCTCCGCCGTGCCTATTGACCCCAGCTGTGCTGCTGGATCCTCCGGAAGAATGAGGTGAATGGTTGAAATTGCTGGAGCTGGAGGGTGTAGGAGGTCTTCGGGCAAAGGCTGATAGTTGAATGGGCCTAGTGGCTCTACTTAAGGCTGCCTGAGGGGAAAAAATAAAGATGTTTGTTTCTCAAAATGATTTTAGACACAGCTTTACCTACAACTTGTGGTCAGTATTCAGAAAATGAAGCTCTCTTGCCTTTCTTTATGAACTCGTTTCAGCAGGCTCTGCTCAAAACCAGAGAAATGCAGAGAAATAAGAATCAAGATAAAGCCCACATAACAGATACATCAATTTCTGCCTCTTCTACACCTGAGGAATCTTTGACAACCAGTGGAATGTGGTGGATAGAAATTTGGACAAAGAATTCAGTCAGACATTTCAATACATACAGTGTGGGATGCATTTAAAGCATTTATTAGGGGATGGCTCATTAATCAAGATGCATGGAAAAGAAAACAAAAAAAAATATGAACAGCTAATAAACCAGACTAAAGTAGAAGAAGAAAGGACTAAGAAGAATTTAAACAACAAAGAACCCAAAATCAAGCTTAAATTATTACACCATAAAATGAACTTAATCTTATTGCCAAGAAATAGTTAAGAATATAGAATTTACTAAATCATTTTATTTTGAAAATGCCAATAAACCATCAAGATGGTTGTCTTACAAAATTAGAAAAGAAAGGGGAAAAAGGACAATCATGGTACTGAAAAACCGACAAAAATGAGGAAAAATATAAAATACAAGATTTGAAGAGTATTGCTGAAAACTTTTACAAAAATTTATACCAACAGAAAGAAGAAAATGTAGATTTAATTAAAGAATATTTATCTCAAAAGGACAATAATAAATTTAATGAAGAACAGAAACAAATTTTGAATGACCCTATTACGATGTGTGATATAATGGAAGCAATTCAAAGACAACAGAAGAAGAAAACACCATGGCCGGATGGCATACCAATAGAATTTTATCAGAAATTTGATGAACAGATAATTTTGCCATTAAAAGAAGTCTTACAGAATATCAGCAAAACAGGTAAATTACCAGACTCTTGGAACCAGGCTATTATTACATTAATACCCAAAGCCAACTCAGAAGGGAACTTAATTCAAAACAACAGACCCATATCTTTATTAAATGTAGACTATAAAATATTTGCAAGTATTCTGGCAATGAGGTTGAAAAACGTTTTGGCATAAAAGATCCACCCGGACCAAACAGGTTTTTTACCCAAAAGACAAATGAAAGGTAATATAAGAACTATTATAGACGCTTTGGAGTATTATGAGACTTATCCAGATAAATAGCTGTTATTAATGTTTACAGATGCAGAGAAAGCATTCGATAATCTATTATGGAAATTTCTCTTGCAAAAATTAGAAAAATGGGATTGTGGATTAGTTTTTCAAACAATGGTTAGCGCAATATATATAGAACAATATGCACAAATAACAATAAATGGTGACATGACACAAAAAATAGAGATTCAAAAAGGAACAAGACAAGGTTGTCTTCTGTCTCCCTCACTATTTATATTTGCATTAAAGACGTTAAATGAATTAGTGAGAGAGGATGAAAAGATACAAGGTCTCAAAGTAAAAGGTGAATAATTCAAACTTTTGGCGTTTGCACATGATCTTGCATTTATAATGGAAAATCCTATAGTCTCATACAGACAATTACTAAGGATAATTCAAGAAAATGGGTCAGTAGCGGGACTAAACATAAATTATAAGAAGACGAAACTGTTAATTAAGTACTGTTCACAAGATATGATAGATGAAATACAAGAGATAGTTTCTATGGAGATAGTCAAAAAGGGTAGATATTTTGGCATTATCATATCTAATAGAAACAGCCACCTAATAGAAGACAATTATAATAAACTTCTTATAGACCTAAAGAAAGATTTGAACAAATGGAATACGCTACAACTTTCACTGATGGGAAGAATAGCTAGAGTGAAAATGAATGTACTTCCTAGGTTTCTATTTCTTGCCTAAAACATTCCACTCTTAAAAAACTAAAAAAAAATCTAGAATTAGACAAAATAACAAGACAATTTATTTGGAATGAGAAAAAAAAAGCCAGAATTAAATGAAAATTGCTTCAAGACAAAAAAGAAAAAGGGGGGTTTGGTGTCCCGAATTGGAAGTTATATTATCAAGCAGCTGCCCTTTGCTGGATTAAAGACTGGATAACTTTGGAAAATATAAAAACATCAAAATTAGGTCATGATTTGCTCATGGGGTGGCATGCCTACATATGGTATGAGAAAGACAAAATCCATTCCAATTTCCATAAGCACTTACTAAGAGGAGCATTAATTAAAACATGGAACAACATAAAAGAAAAATATTATTTGAACACTCCTAAGTGGGTAGCACCCTTAGAGGCGTTTGTAAAACCATCGTTAATTACACCAAAAAATAGAGAACCATATGAAGTCTTACTTAAAAAGAATGAGTTAAAAACAGAAGAAGAACTGTTAAAACACAATATACAACTATCCTGGTGGCAATATATGCAATTAAAATCTAGATATGCTAAAGATGCAACACATGGGTTTGAAACTAGTAAAATGAATTGGATAAGATCTGGCTCTCCTCTAACGACGAAATGATTAAAAAATTATATAATCTGCTGTTGGCAGACTATATGTTAGAGGAGACAAAACCTTCTATGATTACCTGGATGGAAGACATTGGCTACAGTCTTGATATAGACGCCTGGACGAAAATATGGAAGACTGTTAGACTCATGAGGGCCACAGCATATAAAGAGAATATTTATAAGATGTTCTTTAGATGGCACTGGTCACCAGAAAAAATTGCGAAATGTTATAAAAACTCTACAAATAAATGCTGGAAATGTAAAAGAATGGTTGGTACGTTCTACCATATGTGGTGGAATTGTGTAAAAATTCAAAAATATTAGCATAAGGTACAGAGGATAATTTTAGAAATTACAGATGTGAATTTGAAACTAGAACCTGAATGTTATCTGTTGAATATGATCCCAGAAAAGATCAGGCAATGTGATGTGTATTTAATAATGATGATAATAACATCTGCTAGGATTTTGTGGGCTAAATACTGAAAATCAGATAAAATTCCAAGTGAGGAAGAATTGACAAATAGGCTGTTAAACTTAGCAGAAATGGATAAAGTAAACGTTATAATGCAAGGCAAAGACGACGAAATTCATTGGAAAAGATGGTCAAGGGTGTATAGTTGGATAAACGATAAAGGAAAAAGATAGACTCGAATTATATTGAAAGATGAAATTTATATGTTTGTATTTGTAAAAACAACAAAATATTTTTTAAAAGAAATTTGGACAAAGAACTTTGAGGTCTGGGTTGGGTTGACATCCCTACTTTAACCATGAAGCTCAAAGGATGGCATCAGGGAACTAGCTGCGCCTTCCCGGGTGAAGCTATTTCACAGGGTTTTTGTAAAAATAAAAATGAAACAATCACTTATTTACAGACCTGAGTTCACTTGAAAGTGTAGTGGATTTACAGGCGGAAGACCCTTTTATGGTGAGGAGATAGTGAATCTTGACAGAATCCTATGAATTCCCTCTGGCTGTCCTCTTCAGGCCTGCACTGCCAATTCCCAGCGGATTAGCGTACAGTCAGAGAGAACAGTGAAGGCAGGAAACAGCCCTCCTGTGGGGAAGCATCCCACAGAGAGGTCTTGGCACTTCCATACCATTAGGCTGCTGCAGCACCTTTTAAAAAGCTAGGCAAGCCTTGAGGTCTTCGGATCATGCTGCTTGATGGGGAACTGTGCAAAGGTGTGACCAGCAATTGCCCCTCCCCTCCTCAAGGGACATCTCTAGAGGGCAGCCAAGGACCACCACCCCCCCCCGTTGTTAGAAGAGGGATGCAGTCTTCGTCTGAGTTTGCTTTGTAATCACAACCCTTCTTATGATACCGTGTTGAAACTTTATAAACACCAGTCTTTACCACAAACAACTGGCTCTCCTCTTGGGTATCCCATGAGCCTAACACAGAGTCTGGCAGGCCCTGACTCTAAAGTAAAGTAAAACAGAAGGGTGGGCTTCAAACATGACAGAGGCTGCGGTCACACGGAGAGAGACGGAAGATAGGCGGATTTTCCGGGCGCGATCTCACCGCCACATCTGGGAAGCGTAGAGCTCCCGTAGCTCACCCGAGGCTTCACTCCGAAGATGCGCTGTAAAAAACTAGTACCTCCAAGGTACTAGTTTTCAGAAACCGCGGGGCTAGGGCGGGCGTCAGATCGCGTTTCTGGTGGTAGTTCCGGTGCCCGCCCATGTCCCCTCGCAAAAAGGTTCCCCCCCCCAAGTTTCCACAGATGCGCACAAGCACCCAACGGAGCATGCGCACACTTTAGTTAAAAAAAACCCACAACCCCATTTGCCCCGCGGCCCTGCTTCTTTGCAGCACCGCAGGATTGTCCTGTGATCAGCACCTCCCCCCTAACCACGGGACCTCCATGGGACGTCTGCTCGCACAACCGCGCGTTATTTTGCCCCGGGGCAAACAGCCACGCTTCCCCCCCGCGTTTTCCGGCCCGTGTGACCGGAGCCAGACATTTCTTTCAAAGAAACATTCTGGAAGGAAAAATGAAAGTGCATGGGTTTCCAGTTCTCCCAGCTCGATTCTGCGGGCCATAAATAAACAAAGAGTTTATATGCTCTCATCAGAGAGTAAATTAAATGAATGGTGCCGTCTTGTTTTCTGGGGCTAACAAAGCAACTAGTCTTCACATTTAATCAAAAATACCTTTTTAAAAAATCTAGGCTATGCAAAAATTCAGAAGACTTATTTGGTTTAGAGTGAAGAAAATAATGCATCCTAATAATTAAGAAATGTTTAGGCTTAAATAAAATCACACAAATCGTTACAGCACTTATGAGTTTCTTACTTTGTCACAACTAGCATTGCCATTACAGTCATGGCTACTGGATCTGTATGGAATGCCAAGCTTCATCTGTTCACTGCCGCCATCTTGGCTTGTTTGGGTCCTGTCTGAATTCCACGGCTCAAAACTTGAAGGAGGTAAGAAAGGTGGGATGACCGCTTTCAGTTTGTCATTAGGCAACCTTGTAAATGGAGCCCCACTTCTTAACTGAATGGGGGAAAGAAAGAAAAAGAGATATTCTAGAATGACTGCATAGAGAACAAGGCAATTTTACACCCCCACACCGATATACTACTAGCCACAAATGTGAATTGTTGCTTTTTTACTTTTAAAAATAAGGACTGTTCTGTATGTCTGATAATACATTATTGTTAATAATCAGAATATTTTTGATTTCTCTTGAGTTGTTTAGACAAGATCAGCAATGCAACCTATAACTTACCACTGTGGTCAATAGTTCACAATCATTTTCTGCCTTTCTACTGGCTAGACCTGAAAAATACATTAATAGTGTTATTTTAAATCTACCCCAGTAATTCATGCAAAATTTATTCTAGGTTACATGTTGAAGCAAGTTGCCCCTAGTATAACTCAGCTGATTTCCAAGGATTAGTTTGCCCCATTATTGATTTTTTTTTACATTTTCAGACATAAAAGGTGTGATTTTTACCAGTCTGAAATAATATCCCCATGATCTGAAAAATATCTTTACATAAGATGAGCCATCTGTACATTGCCAAAACAGCGATTCAGTTTTAAATTAATTTTAAATAAATTTGTAGACCAGAGTTGTATCAAGGCTGGCATAGGAAACATAGATGGTGTCATTTATCGGAGGAGTTCAGTGATTACTGCTTGAGGACGCCTTCCAAGGTTGTGGTGGGTTTATGGTCCAATGAGGATTTAAGCCTGTCCCTGGGATGTACCGCTGCAGACGGCCGGCGGGTGCCAAAACGGATGACTGGTGCTGCTCCCCCCCCCCGCACTCTCCTAATCCCTCCCACAAATAAAACAAGCCTGTCACTGAGAAACCAGATGAGAACCCTTCTCCTTGACATGTAACAAGGCCCAGTCCACCTTCTGAAGTGGTAACCTCCAGACACACACGGAGTCCCTCCGCCAGTAAGAACTTTGTGAATAGTTTAATGCTCCATTTCCAGGGTTAATACTACCTACACAATGATTTAGCACTGTCATAAGAACATAAGAGAAGCCCATGTTGGATCAGGCCAATGGCCCATCCAGTCCAAAACTCTGTCACAGAGTGGCCAAAAATACCAGGTGTCAAAGTCATGACGTATTAGCAGCTCTGAACGTCTAAATAGGCCACCAGGTTTCTGACTATAAACAGTTCAGAAACATTTGAAATGTTATGCATTTCTTACATAGAAAGTGCTTGCATCCTGGGAAAGTTGGATGACTTTGATGACTGCATAGGCATCTTCTCCACCGCAAGTACATCCACTGAGAAGACACGACTGGCTATTGCTCCCAGTGTCCGTACACAGTGAAACTAACTTTCCTACAGTCATCAAACATGTTGATTTACATACAGTGTTGCTGCTTTTGCCTACACAGAAACATGCATGCAGGCGGGGCTGTGGCATCTGCTGTGCATGAAGAGGGCCCCGGGTTCGGTTTCTGGCCTCTCCAGTTAAAAAGACCAGGGAGGAGGTGATGGGGAGGACTCCTGCTTGAGCCAGGGCCACACTTGACAGAACAATGGTCTGGCTCAGTAGAGGCAGTTTCATACGGGGAATTTAAAACAAGCCTATCAAGTTTTTTCTCTCATTTTTGGCTGGAACTCTGTATTTCTAAGACTAAAGGCAGAGACTTTTCACATCATTATTTGTAGAAATGGGAGGGGAATTTAAAATCCTTCTATGTGATAACAGAAATACTGTTAGTTATTTGGTTTTTTAAAATTTACCCCGTCTCATCATTTATTTATTTATTTATTTGTAACCCGCCCTTTCCACAAGCAGGCTCAGGGTGCTGACAAGTTGACAACAATAAATACAATACTATCTTAAAATAGGTCAAAAACAATAAATAACAATATTAAGAGAATACAATAAAACCATAAAACATCTAAATTGGGCAGTGCAGTATATTAGTTTCAGTTCCTGCAGCCAGAACGGATGGGCTGGGACTCATCCAGCAGCAGCAGCAGCAGCAGCAGCAGCAGCAGCAGCAGCAGCAGCCGCCATAGGGAGGCCAGCTGGTAGATGCCCGCTGCCTCGGCCAAAGGCCTGGTGGAACAGCTCTGTTTTGCAGGCCCCGAGAATCGGTTGCAGGCCTTGCAGGGCCCTGGTCTCAACCGGGAGCCTGTTCCACCAGGCGGGGGCCAGGGTCGAAAAAGTCGTCCCAGTCAGCAGGTGCGCCACCCCATTTTGCACCCGCTGGAGTTTCCGGATCAGCCTCAAGGGTAAGCCTGCGCAGAGCGAGTTACAGTAGTCAAGCCCGGAAGTGGCCATTGCATGGGTTACAGTAGCCAGGCCCTGGGGGGAGAGGTAGGGAGCCGGCTGCCTGATCTGCCACAGGGGACAAAAGGCAGCCCTGGGGACTGGGGCGACCGACCTGGGCCTCCACAGGGAGGGAGGCGTCCAAGGCCACCCCCAGGCTCCTCACCTTCTGGGCCGGCACCAGCCCAAGGTAGGGAGAATAATTTTAAATGGATATTCTTATAAATAGCATCAATACTTGATTGCATGTTAGACCACCCACTCCTTGTATACCTGTATGGATGAGTGCACATGCCAAAGAATGTACATTTAACAGCTTTTACCATCAGCATTGCTCTTGGATGCCCATGCTGTAGTGACGTTATGATTTCCAGGGTCACAGTTCTGCAAGGTAGCCTTCATTGTACAATCGAACAGTGATTTGGACTCTTCTGGAAGAGGCACAGATGGATTTATGGCAAATCCATGGTTTAACGTTTGGGTCAACTTCAACTTGCGAAATCGATTGGACATCCTGTTCCACCATGACTAAAAACAAAAATGCACCAAAAAATCACACACTTATTATACACAGTAGAAATCTTCCCAAACACATCCTTTGACCCTGTCACGAGGACAGTGTCCAGAGGGCGGCCATCTCGGCCTGATGCAGAACAGCCAGATGTGAGTCCAGTCTGAGCACCTCTGAGCCCAACCAGTGGTGGGGGGGGGGTTGGGTTGGGGGGTTTCCTGTCTCGACTGCTGGCACTCCACAGGCACGCAGAGACACAGTTTTCAGGCATCAGAGTTTGTAAAGCATTTCCAGGGCCAGGCATCAAAATACATTTCCAGGGTTCAGGCGCAGAGTAGGCAACACTGGCAGCTTCGAGTCCGAAGGGAAATCCAAGAACGAGAAGGACACGAAGGGGCAGGCCAGGCTCAAAGACAAAGAGGTCAGTCCAGAGCACAGAGGCAGTGTATGGGTCGGTCACCAACGGAGGAGTTGCTTCCACACAGCCACCCCCTTCTCAGCTGCGAGCCGCCTCAGTCCTGCTCTTGCAAGCACTCATCCTCACTGTTGGTGCTGGGCCGGTGCTGTGCTGCTGGGTGGGCACTGCGCCTTCTGTCTTGAAGGCCTCTCCTCATCTCCCTCTGGTGGAGTCCCCAAGGCTCTGGTGGTGGTGGTGGTGGTGTGTGTGTGTTTGTGTCTGGGGGTGAACTGACCAGCAACTGGCTGCTGCCAGCTCAGGGCTGGGGGGCTGGGGGGGCAGTGTGCTGGTTCCTGGCTGAGGATCTGTGTCTGGCCCCTCAGAGACTGCCTCCTCCTCCTCCTCCTCTTGTAGCGCCTCCGCTGCTGGCTGTGGGTTGGGGTCAGGTCTGCTGGCTGCCTCCTCCTCCTCCTCAGAGGAGTCTTCTGCGACTCTTTGCTCTGCTGGCCCTGGCCGGCTCACAACAGGGTATAAACTCTGAAGAAACAAAGCTCGGATGAAGGGAGCTCTTTGGATCTCAAAATCTTCTTGGTCTCTAAGATGCTACTAGACTCAAATCTAAAGACAGAGCTCATTGTTCAGCTCCTTCCTAGAGCCAGTGCAGTTCTGCACGGAAAGACCAGCTGGGAACAGGAAGCAGGAGGCATCAACCACCAGGGTGACTGAGCAGGAGAGCACAGGGGTGGTGTGGTGTGTGTGGGTGTGCCACTGGGAAGCTCTGCCCAGTGAGCATCCTCATGGAGACAACAGACCGTCAAGGTTGGTGAGCCGGGCCCCTCCACCTCGCTCCAGCCAGAAAGTCTGATCAGAGCCTGCAGCTTCACAGGACCCGATGGAAGAAACCCCGATGATGACTCCCTTTGTCACTCCATCTATGCCCTCATGATGCTACCGCACAGCAGAGAACAGGGCTAGCAGCTCCCCCCTGCAAACAAGCTGCTCTGGTGGCACACAGGGAAAAAAGCATCTGTGTCCTGCTGCTCGATCCACCCGTCCGAGACCCCTCTTGCCTTATAGAAACACTGCCAGAGTGGAGTGGCACGGCTCCCCCAGAACCTGCGAGGGGCTCGGCGTGGAAAGGAATCCCCCACGAGCTCACAGCTGGGATCACTGGTGCACTCAGAGGAAAGAAGGAGCCGAGTGCTTCATTCCTTTCCTTCGCGGTGGTCTGTGGCTGACTTTTCCTGCGCCCCCCCCGGCACCCACACCTTGACAACTCATACACTGCCCTGTCAATTAGGACAATCATCTCTTGGTGGACTCCCCTCTCATGAATGGATCCAACACGCCCTCTACGTTCCCATCTAGGCTAATTTTCTAACCTTCAACAGAAATGGTAATCCATCCCTTAGGACTTACTGTGACACAGCATGTGAAACTTACCTTCAGTCCTCCCTTGTCCTCTGGCAGTCCTGGGGCATCGGAAGACGTCTTGTTTCTCAAAGAAAGCGCCGCTGGCTTGGTGCCCTGCTTCCCCTTCTCTTTATCCCCCTGCATGCACGCCGATGCCAGCAGCCGTATGACTTCTGCGTCTGAAAAATCCACAGGCGGTTTGTGGCGGAAATAGTTCTCTGCCCCCCCCCCCAAGGTACTGTTAGGAACAAGCCTCTTGTATTATGAGAGCACATATATACATTGGCATATACGTGCACGTATGTATGCACACACACGAGTGAGGGAGAAAGAGCAAAATACCTGGATCATTCAGAAGCATTATCAAGTCAAACGCCGTGTATCCATTCTTAGCACGAAGATTGACATCCGCTCCTTGATTTAATAAATACTTAACGACTTCTTTATTTCTTCGTAAAAAAGAGACAAGTCACACATTAGGCACCCAAAAAGGAGATAACTGCACTCCACAGGTATTTAAGTTCTCCTAAACTTTTGCTTGTTTCTTTTCAGCCACCTCCTGCTCCTGTTTCTTTTCAGCCACCTACTCTTCAGCTACAAGTACCGGAAGTGACCAAAATGATTCAGTTGTTTACCAGCCAACCTAGCAGTTTGAAAGCAAGAAATTGCAGGTAAATAAATAGGGACCACTTCGGTGGGAAGGTAACAGCGTTCCGTCCACCTTGGTGTTTAGTCATGCCAGCCACATGACCACGGAAACATCTTCGGACAGCGCTGGCTCTTCGGCTTTGAAACGGAGATGAGCACCACAACCCTAGAGTCGGACTCGACTGGCTTTCGAGCAAGGGAACCTTTACCTTTACCTTTAAACATGGCTTAACCTGTGTTAAAGCTCAGAATTATGACCACTGGTATTCTTACATAACGTGTAAGACCATCAAGGTTCTGATGTTGCTATGTCAGTGCTGGGGTTGTTGTCCTAAGGCTGTTCATCTACAAAACCAATAATATTTTAGTTTTTCAGCCATAGTTTCTTGCTAACTGTCGGGTCACTGGGGAAGTCCATCCTTGCTGTTGTTTTCAGTGTCATACACCCCAGCTCCCAGCTGCTGACCTTCTTTCACCTCACAGGCGAAGGAGAAGCACATCATGAGTTCAGGAGTTACCATGAGAATTATGGACCCTGCCAAGCAGGCTGTATTGGGTCTATGAATCAAGGTAAGTTGGATATGGTTAAAAATGAGATGGCAAGACTGAACATCGACATCTTGGGAATCAGTGAACTAAAGTGGACAGGAATGGGCGAATTTAACTCAGACTACCATTATATCTACTACTGTGGCCAAGAATCCCATAGAAAAAATGGTGTGGCCTTTATAGTCAACAAGAGAGTGCGAAAGGCAGTAATGGGATACAACTTCAAAAACTACAGAATGATCTCGGTCCAAATCCAAGGCAAACCATTCAACATCACAGTAATCCAAGTCTATGCCCCAACCACTGATGCAGAAGAGGCTGAAGTGGACCAGTTCTATGAAGATCTACAACACCTCCTAGAACTAACACCAAAAAATGATGTCCTCCTCATCATAGGGGACTGGAATGAGAAAGCAGGAAGTCAAAAGGTAACTGGAATAACAGACAAGTTTGGCCTTGGAGAACAAAATGAAGCAGGGCAAAGCTTAACAGAGTTTGTCAAGAGGACACACTGGTCACAGCAAAGAAGAAGAAGAAGAAGAAGAGATTGGATTTATACCCTGCCCTTCACTTGGAGTCTCAGAGTGGCTTACAAACTCCTTCCCCTTCCCCTCCCCACAACAGACACCCTGTGAGGTGGGTGGGGCTGAGAGAGCTCTGACACAAACTGCTCTATAAGTTGGTGTGAGCTAGCTCACAGTTTTTTAGCCTCCAGCTCACAGATTTTTGCCTTAGCTCAGGAAGGAGGGCCTCAAAGCAAACTAATTTGTGCAGTAGCCAAATTGCTGACTCACAACTTTAATGCCAGCAGCTCACAAGGTAGGATTTCTGCTCACAAGACTCCACAGCTTAGAGAGAACATTGGTGCTGCATGTTCCCGTGTGCTGCAGACGCCTGATCTGGTCTGGACCTTCCCTTCTCAGATGCCGCATGTGGAGCAGGGGCTCAGCTCAGGTTCGAATTCCCAGCCTGCCATGGAAGCCTGCTGGGTGACCCTGGGCCAGTCGCACAGCCTCAGCCTCACTTGCTCCACAGGGTGATTGTGAGGATAAAATCAGAGAGGGATAAAATCATGATGTGGGCTGCTTTGGGCTCCCACTGGGGAGAACGGCAGGGCATAAACGAAAGAAGTGATAAATAAATAACAGCCACACCTCTCTAGCCTCCACATTTTAACTCCCCCCCCCCCCCCCACTGCATGTTCTGTGCAAACATTACATTCAGCCCACGGCCCGTCAGACAAGCTCACAGGAGGGAGAGGCACACTTGGAAGTCGGGTGGGCAGGCACAGGCTGCTCCTCAAAGTTTGCACAGTCTCTCTCATTTTCCAGGAGCCAGGTCAACACTGCGCAAGACCTCCACAGACGGGGAGGGTAGAACAGCACAGAACACAATGCTACCCGACGGGTCCTCTCCAGAGTAGGCAGGCCTGAGAAAGCCCGGCGTTTTCCCTGGAAACAAAACTGGCTTCCACATCCCCCCCGCCCCCCCCCCCCGGTGGTCTTTGGTCATGTGATCAAACAGTGACAGTAAATGTGAGCATAATCCCCCCATGCCAGGAAACAGGGTCTCTTACCCATGATACGTCGCCTGCATTAGAGCTGTCCAGCCGTGGACATTATCTTGCTTGTCAATTTCTGCATTTCGGGAAACCAGTAACTGTACCAGTGGCAGCTGTCCAGTGACGGCGGCAATCATCAGTGGGGAGGCACCATCATCATTGACCATGTTGATTTGTGCTGGGTCTTCATCCGTGATCCCTTCCAGCAGCCGGAAGCTCCCTGCCGAGACAGCAACACTCTTGAGGAACGGGGAGGACTTCAGAGCAGTAAGCCGGAGGTGTGTTCTGAGCATGTCACGCCAAACCAGTGAAAAGAGGTTTTTAAAACAGTGGAAGGGGAAGCGTCTCAAAGCAGTACCTGAGTGAAATACCGTTTAATCTGTAGGCCTTTGCCAGAGGCGTAAGGCCTGTGCTGGCTTTTAAGAGTCGTCTGCGCCAGAATTTATTTGGGCAAAATAACTCTAAACAGGCTCACTCAGAACCCTACTCGGGTCTATTCAGCAAAGCACTTTTAGGATTGCACGGGTGGCAGGGGAATGGCAAGTGCTAATTTTCTGTGGGTTTTGACCTTTATGCGACGGGGGGGGGGGGGGGCGGATCCCATGGTCTGAGGACTGATGGAAAAGCAGCCATGAAAGAGTCAGCAAGAACAGGGGCGTGCCCACCAAGAGCTTCTCTGAACCTGAAGTCTTCTTAGCTGATCCGGAAGAGAAAACAGCCCTCATAAACAGGCTAAGAAACAACTTGATGAGAAGAAATGAGAAAGGCGGCGTGACGATTCCTTGTTTGAGAGTGTGTGTGTGTCCCTTTAAATGTTTTATAGTAACTAGTGTGCCATGATTGGTGGATGGCAGAGTGTGGGAGGAGTTATTCTGTGTGGGTGTGTCAGTGAGAGATTGGAGAATGACAGTTGGGAGAACAACAGTGGGAGAAAAGGCAGTTGATGTTGTGCAGTTGGAGTTCAGCCAGTGAGAGCTCTGACAGTGCTGTGTGGAGTCAGAGAGAGAGAAAGCAGTATATATCTGTAAAGTGAATCTACAGTTCTTAAAGAGAGTTAGAGTTACAAAGAGAATAGCCTGTGTGATACAGTCGACCTACATACTTACAAACAGGGTTCCCTCTAAACTGAGTTACGCTCACTCACAACTTCAATGCCAGCAGCTCACCAAGTAGAATGTTTGCTCACAAGACTCCACAGCTTAGAGGGAACATTCCTTACAAATACCTATTTCCTAAACAGTTACAGTTTAAACCACCTCTTAATTTGTTCTTTCAATAAATCCTTTTTATTTAAGTTTATCCCAGAAGCCTGATCCATTCTTCCTCAGGACCACATAGATCCTCGCAAGCCAAGACCCTGGGTCACAATACCAAAACCAGAAGCAGAAAGGGGATTTGGAATTTAAATAAAATTCCTGGTGGCAGCGGGAACTACCTATTTTATAAACATAAAGTATCATTTAAAGTGAAATTCAGTCCTCTCCAATAGGAGGTCGTCACAGGCTGATTCACACGGCTCCTTAAAACAGTCACCTCATTCTTTGATGCCGATCAAATACAGCAGATGCCTATATAACAGCAACAAAAATAATGCCTTACCCGTCTTCAAGGCATGGAAGATATCAGGCTGCCTCTTCTGTTTATCTGGAAAGGAAAATTTATATTTATTTATATTTATTTATTCGATTTCTATCCCGCCCTCCCAAAGGCTCAGGGCGGCTCACATGCAGCAAAGCCGAGAAATAAAATACAATAAAACATATAATAAAATACAACATTTAAACCACAGTAAAACCTTCCTATAACACGGTGCTGTACCTATATTAATCATCCAAGATGGGAGCAACCATCCAAATCTGGCGGCCAGCCAGCTCTCTCAGTAGCGCGGTCTCCCGCTACGCTGTCTCTATACTTTGGCCAGGCCATGCTTGCCCCCCCTTTAGTAGGGCAGCCGATGGCACACCACCTTGGTGGTAGGGTAGTGGCGGCAGCGGCTCCTACTCGAAAGGCTGGTGGAAGAGCTCCGTCTTGCAGGCCCTGCGGAACTGCATAAGGTCCCGCAGGGCCCGGATCTCCTCTGGGAGCTCGTTTCACCAGGTAGGAGCCGCCACCGAAAATGCCCTGGCCCTAGTAGGGGCAAACTTAATCTCTCGGGGGCCTGGAACTACCAGGAGATGGAGGTTCCCCGATCGTAGTGCTCTTGGGGGAACATACGGGAAGAGACGGTCCTTCAGGTAGGCCAGACCCTGGCCATTCAGGGCTTTATAGCGTGTAACCTAACGGCTGTGCTACAGCCACCACAAAGAGTTTATTGAAGTATATTTTTATTTATTTGTTTGTTTGTTTGCTTGCTTAGATTTTTAGACTGCCCTTCCACGCAAGCAGGGCTCAAGCGGCTTACAACAGAGGAAGACACACAGGAGGTAATTAGAAGTTAAGAACCAAGAATAAATACATAAAACATACAGCACCAATAATTCAATAATTCATCAGAATAATTTAGTCAATCCAAGATGATGGGGGGGGGATTCAAATTTCACAGGCCTCGGGGCCGGGGGCTGCAGAGAATGGAGGGTATGAGAGAGCCAGACGATACCATCGCTGTCCTCAACCGAAGGCCTGGCGGAACACCTCTGCCTCACGTGCCCTGCGGAAAGGTAACCAATCCTGCAGGGCAGAGATGTTCTCCAGCAGGGAGTTCCACCAGTTGGGGGCCGGGGCCGAAAAAGCCCCCCTGGCCCTGGTGGAGGACAGCCGGATTGCCCTCGGGCCGGGGACCACCGCCGGGAGGTTCTTCCTTCCTGAGCGTGATGCTCTGCTGGGGGCACACGGAGAGAGGCGGTCCCAGAGGTCTGTGGGTCCCTGACCACGAAGGGCCTTAAAGCCCAAAACCGGCACCCTGAACCGGATCCAGTGTTTCGGTGCCTCAAGCGATTTGTTATCCAAAACAAAAAACAGTGGAAACCCAATAGCCAGAGTGGCCCACGCTGACTTTGCTATGGGAATGGGAATCAGATGTGCAGCTGTTTGTCTTCCCTGCTGGGCTCAGTTGCTACTAGACTGTGGAATCCCTTTTCACTAGCCGAAGGGCACAAAACAATTTCCCCATTGTCCTTGTTTGTTTATAAAGTGCACAGAGCACTTCGCAATAAAAACTCACATTTAAAACAGGCTGGTGTTGTGGTTAAGAATTCTGGGCTGAGATCTGGGAGACCCAGGTTCGAATCCCCACTCTGCCATAGAAGCTGGCTGGGTGATCTTGGGCCAGCCATTCTCATCCTAGCCTACCTCACAGGGCTCTTGTGAGGAGGATAAAATGGAAGGAAGTAGAGCCACGTAAGCCACTTTGGGATAAAGTAAATGAAGTATGCAAGTAAATAAATAAATAGTCTTTTCTAAGAAAGAACACAATGTGGCTTATAGCTCAGTCCTACTGTCTGGAGGGGGGCCTCCCCACCCCCACCCATCAAGAAGAGGAAGGAGGGGTTCCCCCCCCCCAGGACAGCAGCAGGCAGAGAAAGGCCAGCCAAACCCAGCCTGGAAGCGCTGCCATAGGACAATCAGCGATGAGGGCGGGGTGGGGCTGCCCAAGGGGCAGCCGTTGCCCACAGAAGCAGGCCCCACGGGGCAGGGGGAGTGGGCGCCGGGATGCCGAGAGAGCAGGCCAGGGGAGCTTGTGAAGGGGGAGGCACAGAGGGTCACGGCTTCTTGGGATCTGGCCAGGGAGTCAACGGAGAAAAGGGGAAAGGACCAATATTCCCTCTAAGCTATGGAGTCCTGTGAGCAAAAATTCTACTTTGTGAGCTCCTGGCATTAAAGTTGTGAGTGAGCGATTTAGCTTTTGCACAAATTAGTCTACTCCGGAGCCCTCCTTCCTGAGCTAAGACAAAAATGTGTAAGCCAGAGGCTAAAAAGCTGTGAGCTAGCTCACACTAACTCAGCTTAGAGGGAACACTGGAAAGGACCTGCAACAGGCTCTCCATTGGCCCTGGTCAAGCCAATCAGGAAGTGCTGACCCTGCAGCAAACGTGACTGGGAGAGCCCGGGCTTGCTCCTCCCCCCAGAGGAGCTGGGGAGGGGCCCCGGAAGGAAGAGCAAGGCCCCTCCTGAAAAGGGCCAAGCTTCAGCAAGGGAGAGGGAACCAGCCTGTGAAGACCACCCCCACCCCCCACACACACTGAGGCTCCTGAAGGACTGGCTAAGTTGCAGGAAGGAAGACCCCGGAGGGCGTCACGGCCCCAGACTCTGCTCCAGAAGAGCCAGACCCAAACCCCTACCCACGTTTGCCTGGAAGGAAATCCCCTTGATGTCTATGTAAAGGTAAAGGTAAAGGTTCCCTTGCTCGAAAGCCAGTCGAGTCCGACTCGAGGGTTGCGGTGCTCATCTCTGTTTCAAAGCCGAAGAGCCAGTGCTGTCCGAAGACGTTTCCGTGGTCATGTGGCCGGCATGACTAAACACCAAGGCGCACGGAACGCTGTTCCCTTCCCACCGAAGTGGTCCCTATTTATCTACTTGCAATTTCTTGCTTTCAAACTGCTAGGTTGGCAGGAGCTGGAACTAGAGACGGGAGCTCACTCTGTCATGCAGCACCGGGGTCTCGAACTGCTGAACTACCGATCTTCCACAGCCTGCAGTTCAGCGTCTTAACCACTCGAGCCACCGCAGCTCCCTGATGTCTATGAGGCATCCCCAAATAAGCATGCCAAAAACTGCTGGTCTTAAACTCTAATGCTTTTGAGTAAACATGCATAGGACTGGGTCGCTGCTCTCTTAATTCTGTTATAACACCGTAAGCGATTTGGTGATACCTTATTCAGATTCTAAAAAGAATGGGCAGAATATACATCATCCTGCAGAAGCAGAATGATAAGAACACAAGAAGACCAGAGAAGCAGCAAAGTTTAAGAATGGGCAGTAGAACAGAATATTCTAGACAATAAGACCAGGGTCCTAACTTCATGCTATGTTTTCCCCGAGCCCTTCCCATGTACACTTGGAGGTCTATGCTGGGAACTCCGTTCTGAGGTGCACGTGGGCCTAATGCAGACCAGGACTCCGGTGTGTCAGGAGAGAGCCCTCATGCCTTCACCCCCCAAGCAATTTTCCCAGCCTGAAGCGGTGTCATTGCTATTTTCCCTAGGGGGGGGGACTCTTGTGTACAAAACAGAGAGGAAGTAGTCTGTACCTGTCTGAGGTCTAACTGTTGTGAGAGGTGCCAGATAATCCTTCATGTCTTCATGTTTGAAGTCAACAGATATTTCATATGGAGTTTTATGCAATACGTTCAGCTGATCTGGATCGGCTCCTTTGTTCGTGAGCTGTTGGGCCAAACTCACTCTTCCGCTAACAGCTGCTAACATTAGCGGGGTCCAGCCCATTGCTTTCACGGTGTAATTACAATCAGCTCCCCAGTCCAACAGCAGATGGACCACTGCCTCGTGCCCATGCTGGACAGCTGCCATGAGAGGGGTGATAGCGGGCAGTTCCTCTTTACTCTTGTCCAAGCTGATACTCAGGTGGTCATAATTGTCAACGTAAGCGCCAGATTCCAGCAACAGTTTGACAAGACTGATATGGCCGCCCCTAGAAGCCATGGTGAGCACACTGGCTCCCAGTTTATTCTGCGCATTGAGGTCAGCACCATTTTCCAGCAAGATGCGAGACACAGTTAGATGTCCAAACCTACATATGGGAGAGGAAAACATGACAACACCCAGAAGGTTTGAATAGCAGGACAAAAGCACACTCTTTGAATTTAAAACACTGGACTATAGCTTCACATACACTGTGCATACAGCGATAGTTTTGTGTGCAGTGGGGCTTACTTCTGAGTAAGCATGCATAGAATTGTCCTGCACATGTTGCTCTTACAAGACTACTATAGTTCAGGAGAATGAGCTGACAGCAGGGAATGAACGGGTTGAAAGCTCACCAAGGAAGACAAGCTCTTTCTTAGGTTTAGACTCGCTATTTACAAAACCTGTTTTTCCCGTTAAAAAAACACCACCCTGTTTCTGAACACTTAGTCAGTGCAAGAGTCCTAACGGGACTTGAGAATTCACATACTGCATTGTGAATCCACCTGCATAGAGTTTTTCTTTGAATTACTCTGTGAAACCTCTGTGTGTACCAGCTACTCTTGCTTGGTTGTTGTAAGGAACCCTGAAGCTAGACACCATGTCTTTTAAATCTTTGAGCAGAAAGGAAGGTAAGAGGCGTCGTTATTTAATGCCTGGGAAGCTGGCTGGGTGACCGGCTGACACCTCTCCCCTTCCACTTTCTGCTCAGAGATTTAAAGGCGCAGTGTCTGCTAGCTTCAGGATTCCTGGGGCCGGTTCTCTGGTTTTCTGCCCCTCTGGGCCCAGCTGGCTTCACGGGGCTGCTGTGAGGGTAAAGGGGAGAAGGGTGGAGGCCACTCTTCGGGTCCCCCATAAATGAAGGAAACAAGCAAGGCAAACAAGGTGGCCAGCCACTGAACTCTCCCCCCCCCTTCCTTCTGCACTGTTGCCCCCCCCCCTCTCCCGGGAATAACTTTGCTTTCAGTCAGGCTCTGATAGCAGAAGCGAGGCCGATGGTGGCAGATAGACAGCAAGAGGTTTCTGTGTCCTCCACCCAAGAGCCTCTTTTGTTCTTTTCAAGGGGACATAGACTGATAGAATGTTAAGAGTCGGAAGGGACCTTGCCGGTCATCTAGTCCAACCCCCCCACCCCACGCTGCAGGAGCCTTGGTCTGGAAGGGATGCTGGCCTGCAACGCACCAACCCCGGATGAGGTCTGCCGGGAGGGCGCATTTTGTGAGAAGCCGGATACCAAGACGACCCCACTGCCAGTCGGTGTGGCTGGCGGGTTACGGCCGGGGGACAGAGGCAGAGATGGCAGAGAGAGAGCCGGCAGAAGGGACTTGGCAGCACGCACCCCTCCTCCTGGGGAAGATCCCCCACCCCACCCCCACCCCGGACTGGGCAAAGGGCCCGTGCCTCCCTCCCACCTGGCGGCTTGCATGAGCGGGCTCCACCCGCAGGAGTTCCGGCTCTGCACCGAGGCGCCCCTCCGCAGCAGGAAGCCCACCAGCTCCTCGTGCCCGCCGGCCGCGGCGAACTGCAGCCCCGTGTTGCCGGCCTCGTCCGTCCCGTCCACGGGCACCGAGCCGGGAGGGGGCGGCGGAGGCGGGGGGGGGGCGGGCGCCCCCCCCCACCCCGGGCCCCCCGCCGCCCCCGCGCGGAGCAGCAGCTGGACGCCGGCCGGGACCCCGCACTCCCCCATCGCGCCCTCCCCCCGGAGGAGGGAAGGAAGGAAGAGGGACCCGGCCGAAGCCCGCCTCCTGGACGGGCGGGGAGGGAGGGAGATGGGAGGAGGCGGCCTCTGCAAGGCCCGGCGGAGGAGCCCTCCTCTTCCCGCGGGCCCCAGGGGCGGAGGCGGCGGCGCTGACGCTCTCCGCAGAGCTGTCCCGGAGCCAAGGACTCTCGCGGCGCCACGCAGCCAGCCGCTTCCGTCGAGCGCCTTTCCCGGGCCCGGCCCTCCAGCCGGAGCAAACGTGCCGGCGCCCAGGGCGAAAGCAACGCACCCACCCACCGCCGCCCCCTGCCTGCCTGACGCATCTCCGGCTGGGCAGGGCTGAAAAGCCTTTGGACAGACTCCTGGCTTCAGCTCTAAGACTTTCGTTGGGAAAGAACAAGACAACTTTAACCGGGTCATATCCCCTGAAAACCCCACACCCCAAACACACCCCACTCCAGCTACTGGCTGTTCACAGTGGCCCAGAGTCCCACAGGCTCCTCGCTGGGATCCTCTAGACCATTGTTCCTCTTGCCTCACCGCGCCCTTGGTGTCGGGTATATTACACGGGTCGTCCTCTTTGCCAAGCCCGATTGCCTTCTCCAGTGACTCCTTTCTGCCCACAATGTGACCAGAGCACCATCGCCTGTTTGCTCATTTTAGCTTCTAAGGAGACGGTCAGGCTTGCTTTCCTCTAGAACCCCCTGATTTGTGCTTCTGGTGGCCCACACCATTGTTCCTCGGAGCAAAGGTTTGCCTCACCGCCTGGAGCCCTTTATTACATGGGCCTTCCTCTTTGCCAAGCCTGATTGCCTTCTCCAGTGACTCCTTTCTTCCCACAATGTGACCAGAGCACCATCGCCCCAGTCTGCTCATTTTAGCTTCTAGGGAGAGGGTCGGGCTTGATTTCCTCTAGAACCCCCTGATTTGTGCTTCTGGTGGCCCACGGCATCCATAAGACCACATTTCAAAGGAACCCACTTCCTTCCTGTCGGCAGTCCTCACTGTCCAACTTTCACACCCATACATAGGAACGGGACTACCACTGCATGAATTATTTTATTTCTTCTATTTGTATCCCACTATCAGGGTGTTAGGAGCTGCGGAGGCTCAAGTGGTTAAGACACTGAACTGCAGGCTGTGGGAGGATTCAACTGACTTTCGAGCAAGGGAGACCTTTACCTTTTCATCATGGTGTTCAGAGCAGGTCACAACATATAACAAAATCATAATTAAAACGTAGCAGTTTAAAACAATCCCAGACATGTACAGGTGCCTAAGAGCACTATGACAGTGACACCAGGAGAAGACAAGGGGGAGGAAGAGGCAGGAGAGCCAGTATAGGTGGGGCTTCACCTGACCTCACCTCTATGCTTGGTTGCAGTATGCTTGGTGACACATCTCTGTGCCGAGTCCCGCAGGGCCTGGATCTCATTTGGAAGCGCATTCCACCAAGCTGGAGACACAGCCCAGAAGGCTCTGGCGCTGTTTGAAGCCAGGCGAATGCTCCTGGGTCCTGGGATCACCACCAGTGTGTTACGGCTCCCAAGAGCGTAGTGCTGGGGGGGGCGGGGGGGATGGTATTAACGTGATCTTGGTTGCCAGCAACTCACCTCTGCGCTTGTGAATCTTTTCTCGCTCCCCCCGTGGCTGCCCTTCCCAGTATCAGTCTCCCTTTTGGTTGAGGACAAAGACAAGGAATCCTGAACAACTGCAGTTTCTTCATAGTAAACCTTAAAGCTGTGTCACTGTCTTCTTGAGGCTCAGCCGCAATCCCGCTTCGGCCCATTGGGGCCTTAACTTTCATCAGGCTCACCTGGGCGGCCTGGAGACCGCACTTGGCCACACAGCGGGTCACTGGGGAGGGGGTGTGGAGGAACTTGGAGAGGGTGATCCTGTCACCCCCTCAGCCCTCTCCTCTGTAGGCCCAGCCTACCCGGCTCCTTCCCCGTTCCTCCCAGGCCTTGGTCTCCAGGCCCCTCACCCCTCCTGGTTGCCAGAGGGCAGAATGGGAGCTCCCTTGCTGGCCACCGGAGTGGCCGGGTCTTGCTCCGGAGGGCCACCCCGGGTGTCTTCGGGCCTGCAGAAGTCCACCCCCACCCCCCACCCCCCATGCTTTGACTGGGGCCAGCCTGTCTGGCTCACCACGGGCTGCCCTGAACCTTCAGGTCCAACAGGGCCGTTTGCGGGGGGCGGGGGGGGGGGGCG